GTCATCTAAGAAATTAAAATATAGGTATAAACATCCAATTACGAGATAAATACAGCGACAAACGATCCAATCAATTCGGTAATACCAGCAAATATTTTAATCTTCCTAAGTTCCAATACTCCGTTCTCAAATTAAAAATGGGACTAATGAACACTACAACTCGCAAGTTAAATTCGAAATCGGGACCAAGTGCCTCATAATTATCCTGGGTCTGCCGAAAATTAAGCAAATGGACCAAATATAACTAATGCATTGCCAACATTAAAGCCTACGGTCCAACTTTATACTTATTCATTATTATGGCGACTAGAGCATGGTTGTGAGAAAATGGGCCAAACATAACACTTACGGCCCAATGGAGATAAATTGTTTGTAAACGGACACTAGTGACACTACTTCATCACTTAAAGCCCAAAGGTCAGACCGTTATTAGCTTTGATACTTTGCAGTTTTCTTTATAATTGTAATACCATAAAATGAATTAACTGGGATACTAAAGTTATTCTTTGCACTTTGGAGTACATTTTGGGCCAAAAAAAATTTAGGATATCAAATTTGAAACTAGTTGCATACTTTTGCCACTTGGCAAACTATAAGGGATCTACTAGTTACTAATTAATAGTTCATTTTTTTCAATATCTCATCTTATTAAAAGACTTAATTCACTTCCTCCCCATCTTGGAATTTTTTATTTTATTTTATTTTTTGTTTCCCAATTCCTGTAGATCATTAATTTATTTAATTTTTTCCAATTTTTTTTTTTTTTTTACTTTTCTCTTCTTTCTTTCCCGAAGTTCTAACATACAGACAACAAAGTTAATATTGAGTCATGCGCATCGCACGTGTGAGGACTAGTTCACTTTAATACAATATCACTCACTTAACGAGTACTCCACTATCAAGTGCCATGTAATAAACAATACCTCAAATTAATAGTGATCAAAGAGTGGATAAGTTCAAACCAAAACTATTAAGCTCATGATCCAAAACATAGACAGCTAGTACACTTCAAAGTTTATTATAAAGGACCCTCCATAAAAAATCATAAAGGGTTGATGTGTCTTTCATTAGCAATCACAACTAATTTACGATCAAAATGTGAATACAATCAAACTGTAGCATTAATATGCTCAAATGCAGTGCAACCAAAATATTACATGCATGAGTGCAGTCATCAATAATGTATCACCGTCAACAAAATGAGACCGTTACACCAGTAAACTCATAAGCACTTACTACCATCTAATTCATTTCATGTATGATCTCTACGATTTTCTCTAAAGTTTTTCTATAGTTGTTGTTAAGGATATTCATATTTGAGTATAATAAGGAAGAGTAACTAATAGGCTTTAAAATGAAGGATATGAGTAGATTCTAACCTAAATAGTTTTAAGTTATTCGACATTGATTCTAATCCCTATTTAAATATGTCACTCTTTCTTATCATATCTAATGCGAAACTAGACTCATATTAATACCTTTAATGATATTCTCCTTCATTTGTGAGTAAAACCGGTCAACCGTGGAGATTATAAGATGTTTGTACCTACTTTCATAAAATCTTCCAACATGCGTAGGCTAAGTAGACCTTTGTCGACACCGCCATCTAGGGGTGCTAAACTGTATCCGTATCCGAGGAAATATCTGTAACCGTATCCGTTAGGATACGAATATGGTTACTCAAATCTATAACCGATAGGATATGGTTACAGATATGGTTTTGTAGTGAAATATCTGTATCCGTATCCGAAATATCCGAATACATATTACTTATCCGAGGAAATATCTGTAACCGTATCCGTTAGGATACGAATATGGTTACTCAAATCTATAACCGATAGGATATGGTTACGCATATGGTTTTGTAGTGAAGTATTCATATCCGTATCCGAAATATCCGAATACATATTACTTATATTCTTACGATAGTTTCGATTCTTAGATTATGGATTTGTGGTTAATTTTGATGATCAAGATGTCTAATGTTAATTTTTCAGTTATAAAAGACATATTAACGAACTTTTTTGTATCACATGAACTATGTTTTTCTCAATACTATCTAGTTTTCTCATATCTATTTTGTAGCTGCATGCATATATATTCGCTTATATATCCGCATGTATATCCGTAACCATATCCGATTTTAGCGAATATGGTTATAAATTTTTCTTACCGAGGTATATCCGTATCTGTATTCGTATCCGAGATGGGTAAACGGATATGGATATGGTAAGCATTATATTCGAACCGTATCCGGACCGAATGCGCCCCCAACCGCCATCCATTCATACATTCTCTTGTGGTGGCATGCGAACACTATCCTTAGATCTCTATCATAAGTAGATCTTTACAAAATATATATGTGAACTAAACTTAACCTTAGTCAACCTCGCGATATTTTTGAGCTTCCCATCGGACATCACTTTTCCTTGTCCCCCGAACATTGGCTCATTTATCAGTTAATGGAGAGTCATCAAGTTCAACCTAGAGTTAATTAACTAACTTAAGTAGAAATTAGGAAACATTTGTAGTTTGAAATTTTTTGATTGAAATTGTTTACTATCCTCTCCCGCTAACTATAGGTGGACCCTATTTATTCCGGGTGGCACTAGGGGCACACCCCCAACCACATCCCAAGCCACGCCCCTTTCTCATGTGCTACAGTACACCGGGTCCCACATGAGATTTTAAAATTTTAAAATCCCATGTAGGGCCCGGTGTACTGTAGCACATGAGAGAGGAGGTGTGGTTTGGGATGTGGTTGGGGGGTGTGCCCCTATCATTTTTCATTTATTCCCAACACTTTTTTTTTGCTGAAGTACAGCAACTCATTAAGCAATCATGACATCACAACGATCTCCACTGGTCTTAAAAATATGCTGATTGTCCACACTCCGTACTAGTGCGCAATAATTTAAGAATCAACACAATTGCTAGATGCCAAGACAAGGGATAGAGACGCAATATTTTCCACTCCTGCGTCTCACTCTCTTTCACACGGCGGAAGCAAGCAATAGCTAAAATCTAAATTTATATTTAAAAAAGAAATGAGAAGGAACAAATATATCTGTTAGATAAATATCAAATCAAGTTATAAACATGCAAATAAATTCGAAATAAAAGAATTAAAAAAATCTGGTTTGATCAGGAGCAGTCGTGCAAGCACTACCCTAGAAGATTGAGGACCCGTCTATCGCTCTGACGCAGATAATCACCTCTCCCCTAGCGGTAAAAACCTGGAAATTGGCATGCCTCTGTACTCGGGAGTAAAGAGCTCCTGCTCAGATGAAGAAGATTGCCCAAAATAAAAGTTAAACTGTATCCAAGAATTTTTTGAGAGGAATAATTTTTCGAAGGCCGAAGAGAGAAGTGAGTTGGAGAGATCTTTTCCTTTTCGTTTCTCTGTGTTCCGAGTAGAGTCTTCAGCTGTATATATAGGGTTTTAGAGAGCCGTTACAAACCTCTAACGCTACCCAAAATCGCGCATCCATTACCCAAAAATCGCGCATCCGTTACGCACGTTCTCCATGTGTAAAATGTGTAAAAAGAAGTTGAAAAATTCAAAATGTAGCGTGTGTGTCGTGACTATTCTAAAACCCTATATGTGTATCGTGGCTATTCTAAAATCCATCGTCTTCTCTTCGTCTCGAGCTGCGTGCGGAAACCCATAGGTAATTTTTGACGCCTACAGGTGTCGTGACGAAGCGTGGCGAGCGCGTGTGTGATATACAAAGCCCAGACAAATGAAAGCCCAAAACACCCCCTTCTTTGGAATCCTCAATGTCCGAAAGAAAGAGAGCTAACTTAAACAACCAACTATTCATCACACTAGACGATGTAGGACTATTCATTGAAGGCAAAATTGCCTTTTCTCCCACAACATAGCCAATAATATCACACTTGATGATGTTTGAAATGTGTGGAATTGGAAAAGGATGGGTGTATCTCATGAGATATTGCCACAAGATGATTTATTATTAAGAACATAAATTGGTAGACCATTGGCCAGCCGATCATTGTTCTTGGATTAGTAGAAATGTAATAAAAATTAGAAAAAATATCACGCAATCACTAGCTGTTTAATAATCAAGAGTTATAATTTACCGCAAGTGGTGTAGCGAAGGGTTCTTTTGACATGGAATCAACGGTTCACAAACTTTTGAATAAAGCGCATGAGAGTTTGACTATATTAATGTCATCACTAAAACCTTATTGACTACAAATTTAAAGCTGATTAGAAATAAATATTGCTTCATGGCTTTAGACTCTCATCTGTATGCTATGAGTACAAAATTTATTAATCTACTCATCAACCTAATTAAGTTTCTCCTCGTTTTTAACTCCAATAGTAAGAAGCTTAGATCCTCAAAAAAGATTCTGTGATTAGGGATGCTAAACGATATCCGTATCCATGAAAATATCTGTAATCATCTTTATTAGGATAGGATATGGTTACTCAAATCTATAGGATATGGTTATAAATATAGTTTTATAATGAAGAATCTGGATCCGTATCTGAAATATCTGATTACATATTGGTCATACTGTTATAACAGGTTTAAACATTTGAATATGGATTTAAGGTTAATTTTGATGCTCAAAAAGGCCTAATCTTAGCTTTTTAGATATAACAAACATATTAGTGAACTGTTTTGTATCATATAAACTGTATATTTTTTCGATATTAGCCCATATCTGTTTTTTTATCTACATATATACCCGCTTATATATCTGTATCTATATCTGAGTTTAATGGATAATAATATAAATTCTTTTTATTGAGGTATATCCATAACCATATCCGTATTTGTGATGGGTAAACAGATATGTAATGGATAATAATATGCACCCCTACGGTTGATCCGTGAACCATTGATTTGGTCAATAATAAGTAATTAGTGGGGTCCAATAACTGGAAAAAATTGGATGGATATCAAATCATGGCAGTCTTTTCTTGACAAATACCAATTATCATGACCAGTATCAATCAAGTGGGAAACATGTGTGGAAATGACTAGGGCAGTAGTGGTTGGGGAGTGAATGATTTGGTGGCTGCAGAGCTCCCAATATCTATGAAAGCTTCTTCTCTCTCAGGCTCGCTCTTAAAAGTAAGTCTAGAGTTCTGATGGAATCTGGTGCGTTAGCGTTAGACACTATTCTGATGTCTGGATGCGAGAATTTGCCACTGCTTCTTCCTCGGCCGTCGAATTCGGGCCCGCCTTCTGTGAATAAGGGAGTGATCTCGTGGCCTTCGTCGTCGTCGCCGGAGATTGTGAGGAGCAAGGCTCTGAAGGTTCACAGTCAGGCTGAGAAGAGGAGGAGGGAGAGGATAAATTCGCATCTGTCCACTTTGAGGCGCATGGTGCCTGATGCTAATAACAAGGTTAGTGCCTTGAATTTGTAGTTTTTAAGAAGTTGGAGAATTTTTGGTTATTGGGTCTTTTGTTAAGAGTTCTTTAGAATTGGATAGTGTCAAATTAAGGAACTTGGGACGTTGACGTTTTTGTGGAGACGTATAACAGTGCGAGAGCATTTGGGGGTGTGGGCTTCTGCGTTGTTTGGGCCATTTTAAGCCTAAATATGGTATGGGCCGATGTAATTTGGAACTAAGCGTGGCCCATTGGTCCCTTAGATCTCCAGCTTTAGAAATTAGCTATTCAAATTGTTGAAATTGCTCGTAGGTCCGTTAAATGTCCAGCTTTAGAAATTAGCTCTTCAAATTGTTGAAATTGCTCGTAGGTCCCTCAAATCTTGCACCTGGTTCCTTCAAATTGTGGTCCTCTAGTTTGCGGACATTAGATTTGAGGAAAATATTTCTTCTAACTAAACATTTTGTATGGGGTTCCAGCTAAACACCCCTGCTAATTTAATGAAAAACTTCTCTTTAAACTAGGTAAGATGTACGTGCGTTACACGTGGTCAAATTGTTTCTTTTGAGTTTATCTTTGCTATAAATGGGTTGGGGTATAGATTATGGTTATCGTAAAATATATTTAAATTAAAATTTCGGATATCTTCATAGGTAAAAACTTGTTAGTTTTAATCTTTTTGGTTCCAAGAAAAAATTGCAAATTTCAGATTCATAAAAAATAGCATTGTAAATAATAAAGCATCCAGGTGACAATTTTGTCTATTGCATATAAAAAATAAGCAAACTAGATCACAATAAATTAACATGAAACCCTTGTATAATGTGTGCTTTGCTCGTTGAACTTGGGCATACTTGTTCTATATTCTGAGTTTTCTTCATTGAGGGGAAAATGATGAAGTGACTTAGAGGGAAAAAAAATAAATATTAAAAGTAAAGCGTGAATAATAAATTCCTTATTTTGTTTATAATATTTCCTCCATTTTCTTATTTTGTTTATCAATTTATGCATGGAATTAATATTGAGTTATTATCATTTTCAATTGATTAGAAGAAAGAAACTCAGCTTCATAGAGGATGATTTTAGTGAAAAATGTATGGAGTGAGCCAAATCTGCTAAATTAAAGAGTGCATAACGATCAATATCGTGCTTTCCTTATCTATTCAATCTTAGTTGATAAAGATAAAAGGAGTCTTCCATGTGTATAAACCATCAACACAATATTTTTTAATTTATTTTCTTAAAATTATTTGTTAATTTAGTTTTAATAAGGAAGTTTTTAAATTCTTTTTAATTTTTATCACAATTTTTTTGTTAAAAATATTTAATATTTATTTTTTATAAAATAAATAAATTTTATTAAAATTCTAATATGGAGTTTATGTTTGACAAAAAAATTTATTTCTTAATTCATTAAAATAATTTTAATATATTTTTTAGTAAGGATCGGATCTTGAATTATATGTATGATTCATCAACAAACTATTTTTCTCTTTGTCTCATCAGTCTTAATATCTTAATAGGGAAATTAAAACACCACAGGAAATCAATGAGCATCACTATTTTTTCTTTCAATCTGAGAGTTTTACCCGTAAATCTGAAATATCAATTTTGCATAGTATTATTAAAGAAAAATTATGCATAATATTACTAAAGGAAAATAATCTTGAATCAGTACGCAATATTACTAAAGAAAAATAATAAAGGCAACGAAACATATCTGTTGAAGGAGACGCTAACAAAGGAGATTATGAGACAATAAGAAAAATTGCTATAAAAACTATGCATATGCAAGTTGTATATACAAATATCATCATTGAATCAAAAATATGATATTACTAAAGAAAAATCAAGAAGGCAAGACATACATGTTGAAGGAGATGAAATTACTATAAAAACTTACAAAATTTCTTATTTTATATATAGGTATGAGATATTACACTTGAGAGGATAATATTTTTAGATAAAGTAAACAATTAAAAACCCGATTTATTCTTAAATTAAATCCATTCATGTGGGCATTATTTTATATCTAGGGAATCAAATCTTACTATGAGTTTTAATTATATATCTAAATCAAATATGACGGGCTTATAATGTATACAAGCATCAAGATAACCTAGTCAAAAATATTAATCTTAATATGATTTTTAATTCAGATAACCTAGCCAATAAGATTAATCTTAATATAATTTTTAATTATGTACTTAAATCAAATATGGTGAGCTTATAACGTATACAAGTACTAAAGATAACCTAGCCAATAATATAATTTGATGATGAGCTTATATACATACAAGTATCAACATATATAACCTAGTCAATAATATTGGAATCATTTTACTCACATATATATTAATTAGGATACATTAATATTGTAATATCTAAATGGGTCAAGGATATTTTCTCCGTAGAAAGTTACTCCCAAACTCACACTTTCAAATGGAGTATGATAGATTATTTACAGAATAATATTTCTTGATTTTGACCACGTTCAGATGGACAAGGCCGCATTGCTAGCAAGAGTAATCGACCACGTCAAAGACCTGAAGACAAGAACATCCAACATCGACAAGACCTTGTCAATCCCCGCCGAAGAAAACGAGATCGCCATAGAATTAGCAAAAGAATCGGAGAACAGCGCGACCTCAACCACCGGCGACTTCTACATGAAAGCTTCGGTCAGCTGCGACGACCGACCCGATCTGTTCGTGAGCATGATGAGGGCATTCCACGGCTTGAAGCTGAGAACGGTGGGGGCAGACATAACATCTTTGGGCGGAAGAGCTCAGGTCGTGTTCGTGTTGTGTGGAGGAGATCAGTACGGATCAAACGTGAGCTTGAGATCACTCACGGAGTCTTTGAAGGATGCGTTGGGTAGAATTATCGAGGTTGATGTGGGGTTAACGAGTGTTTCTTCAAGCAAGAGGCAGAGGCTCCTGCAGTCTTATTACTCTAGTGTTTCTATATGACTTGTGGAATGTCTCTTTTTTCTTTTTCTTTTTCTTTTTCTTTTTTTCCCTCTTCTTTGTGAAAATTTTTGTTGATGGTTTTGGTGTGATTGAAGGCGATATATGTATTGGAATGTTTATACAGTAAGGGTGCAACATAGAAGTACTAAATAAATTGTAGGTTCATCGTTTTGGCAATGAAACTAAAGCCCAATCGTTGATTACATCTTCATTGTCATCAGTTAATTATTTAAGTTAAAAAAAAAAACTTTTTTTAAGTATTGCAAAGGTAGGTAGTGAATGTGTGTGTGGATCTTTTGCAAACTATAAGGGGTTGTTTAGCGAAGTAGAGTAGACCTAAATCTAATTTTGTTAGTTTAAATTCGGGATTGGGGCCACCTCCCTCTTGATCATGTTAGCAGGGAGTTAGGAAACATAGCCTAAAAGAGTAGATAGTTATAGGTTATAAACCACGAAACTCGTCTATATTTTCTCTCTTATCTAAACTATGTAACAGATTTGAGAATGGACTACGTTGGGTTAGGGTGGGCATGGGCCAGGTCGGGGCTAACCCGAGAACCAGCCTAACCAAGTCAGTTTAGGCCGGGACCCGTGCAGGTCTCGACAAGAGCTTTGCTCTCGTATCTAGGGCTGGACCTAGTCTGGCCCACAATTTGCATAAGATCGGACCGAGTCTGATCCAGCCCACTACTGCTCGGGTCGTAGGTCGACCTACCGGTTTTTTTTCTCATTTTCTTTCAATTTTTTTCGATTTGGACAGAAGAGATTCGTTTAGGCTTACTTTTTTAGACTTAAGGAGCCCAAGTTTCTACTACCTAAAAGCAGCAAAAAGCCTAAGCTTCTGCTGCCTAAAAGAGAGAGTCATGTTGAGGACTCCTTGTTTTCAAAACGAGCGCGATTCGCCCAAACACCATGGCTCATTGTTTTCGTCAAAAGTTGGTTTTGCTGTGGAATTCATTATATTTTTGTTTGATTACAACAAATTCAAAGAAATTAATAGTCTTTTTATAAGACCTCTTTTACACAACAAAGAGAAAGTTACAACTCTTGAGAAAATAACACAGAAGTCGTTTATCGAATCCTGTTTTGTGGGACTTTGCTTGTGTCGTGAGCCCTTTGACTCGTGGACCGTCAAATCACAGATCGTGAAGGAAGCTTAATGATTCTTCCTTCGTTTATCGAAGTGAGAATTTGAAACGATGATCTTATCAAAGTAAGATGATCGTTCTTCTTAAGATTAAGTCAAAGCTCAAATCTCAAGGAATCACACCAAACTCAAGTCTGCTCTCTCTCTGCTCTGGTTTGCTCGAAATATGCTCGATCCTCGTCAGAAATGACCCTAGGGGGGGTATTTATAGCCTCAGGGGACATAACTGCACAAAACTCAACAACATAACACGTTAAGGCCGCGAGACAGTGTTTACTGTCTCGGCGGGCGAGACAGTGTTTGCTGTCTCGGCCCGCGAGACAGTAAATATTGTCTCGGAAAAAGAATATTCCTGGCAGTTTTCATTTTAACTGCCTTCCCACGTTTCAAACTCCGTTATTTTGGTAGTTATTCACGTGATTTTCGCCCACGATGTTTCCCACGCCCCTTGGCAGTTAATGGACACGTGTAGGGCAGTTATCAAGGTAGTTTTTGACCATTTCAACACTGACTCGCTGGCGAGACAGCAAACACTGTCTCACTGCGAGACAGCAAACACTGTCTCGCTGGCGAGACAGCAAACACTGCCTCGCTGGCGAGACAGTTCGTATCTGTCTTGATCTCTCTCCTAAGAAAGTATGAGGTGATTTTTTGATGATCTTCCCTATGTTTGGATATCTATTAGCATTTTTTAACGCCTACAGATACCCCCTCCAAAGTATTCCAGACGCATTCTTTTATAGAAGAGTCTGGGATACTTTGGATAAGATAGATTTTACTTACGATCCCTTCAATGCTTGGTTGAGTAGATCGTGTAGAAGGACTTGCAAATAGCTTCAACCCTTGATCTCTTCTTCCTTTCGTCTATTCAGTTCTTTGTAGAATAGCTAATGTTCTCCCGGCATCGCGTTTATCGCTTGACCGTTGTCGAGATCTTGAATCGAAGCTGGTATTTGTTCTTGTGGGATTAGCTTTTACCATTGAATTGATACATCCATTGAGAGCTCACTAGGTTATCCTTAAGAATATTCAGATTAATATTCTCCAGAAACTTCATGTTGAGGGTAGGGGAACAGTTTAGACTCGTGTACCTTTTGGAGTATCCCTCTGTATCGCATTTGTGCGATACAGTGTTTGCTGTCTCGCACTGCGAGACAGTGTTTTCTGTCTCGCTCAGCGAGACAGAGGATGCTGTCTCACTCAGCGAGACAGAGTATGCTGTCTCGCTCAGCGAGACAGAGTTTGCTGTCTCGCTCAGTGAGACAGTGAGTAAATAAGTCGGACTTGGGCTTTTTTAGGGTTTTTCACGTCGATTTCTGGGCGATTCTTGGCGATTTCCTGGGCGATTTTTGACCAGTTTTCTGTCTCTTCTATTCCTTTTCATTTCTGATTTGTTGGGTGCCTTTGTTTGGGGAGATCCCACTCGGATTTGATAGGTTTGTTCACCCTCTTTCTTTAAAATCTCAATTTCCTTTAACTGTAACCTTGCATGCACTGTTTCAGCGATATTCCATGATATTTTGTTCAATTTTACGTTCAAAATTTTAACTTTCCCCTTGGATTTCAATGTAGCTTGTGTTTTCATCATGTCGCCGCGTAGAGCTCGAGCACCCCGAGGCCGTTCGACTGTTCAGTACCCTGAAGAGGCGGGTCCCGCTGCTATTTCACACGAGGGTATATATCTTTTACCCTCTCACAAATTTACATACTGTATTTCGTCAATTTCATACATAAATATCTGTATTTGTATGCAAATCCTCGTTTGTATCCTTTGAGATACCTTCGAGAAGAACCGATATCCTCCTTTGAGGGGATCGACGCTTAAAAGTGCTTGTTTTGCTTGGACAAAACGCACTACAGTACATACAGGGGCGATTTCATATCATCCCACGTGTGTTGAAAGGTTTCAATATGCCGTTATAATGCACGTGCATAGTAACGCATATCTCTTTTATACATGTGATAGATAGAAAATCGTCGCACCTGTTATGGGGTGGCGATCATATCTTATGGAGTAGGATATATTGCCTCATTTCAAAATTTTAGGACTATTCTTACACAATTCATGTGTATGTTTTCTTTATCAGTCCAATTTCCTTCTACCATCTTTACTGCTGATGCGGTTACGGGTCAGAGTAGCGCTACCCACTCTTATTATGAGGGGTTACCGCTAATCGAATCCGCTCCCCAATTCAAGTCAGATTATAGCGAAGGAGCCAGGGAACTGATTCAGCGAGGGAGTTGTCGTATCCTACGACGGTTAATCACGGACACCACTTTAATTTCGGAGCGAGACTCGAATCAATGTATAAGGAAGCCAGACTTCTTATTTGGTGACTCCGTAAAGGATCCATAGATCGTTTCTTGTAGATCTGCACAGTGGTTACATGAGAGTGGTTCGTTATTCCTGTATTTGCCTTGGATTCCTCGGGAGCATTCACTCTTGAAGTTTAGAAACCTATCTGTTGGACGTGAGATGTTCTGGAGATTAACCGAAAACCACGAACGTATTCATTGTGGTTTCATTGGGAAGGAAGCCACCCCAGGTTCCAGTGAAAGAGCCTCTGTGCGGGGACTTCATCCAGGTATCTTAGGTCAGGACAATATTCCACAGAATGAGACGACAGCACAGGCAAACATCGTGAAGCATCGTTTAGCTGCAGTGAAGAAGAAATTATCCAACCAGAACTTCAAATGCTATGGATGGGTCCATTATTTTGGAGACAAGTGGTGGACCAAAATGACTCGATATGTGTTGAACCGTTGGGGACGAGAGTTAGCAGAACTAGGGTTGTCAGTCCCGATCCGGGCTACAATGTATGGTCTGCAGATCAGTGTGGGTCATTTCCTCTGTTTATTCAATATTTATAACCCTGACACCAACACATTCTTCACCAAGAATGGAGAGCTCGGATTACCGTTACACGAAATGATGAAGGTTTCCGGTTTACCCATAGGTGATGTCCCTTATCAAGAATTCTTCCCCACTACCAATCAGCTTAATAAGATGAAGGATCGGTCAGCTGTGACTCACGACACTCTATGGGAACTGACTTGTCATTATCACATAGCCATGGCTGAGATGGATACTAAAGCTAGGAAGAAATCTCTCCAGATCAGCTTAAAACAATTCGCCGATTATCTATTCAAGAACTTGGATGACCGATTGGAAGAGGTACGTGGATTATCTCCTTTGAGTCCGGGTGAAATCAATCGGTTGTTGGAGAAAACGAACGCACAATCTTACACCTCTCATTCAGAAGACGGGTTTCCGCATGGTACTAAATTCAGCTCTTATCTGTGGCAAGCTGGTGTCCCGATTCATTCTACCACCCTGCTGGCTGGCTTTATGGCCTTATGGTTAAAGAGGTGTGTAGTTCCCCACCAGTCCTCTGATGCTATGCCAATGGAAGTGTTGTATCCAGCCGTCCAGTTGGCTACAGGTCGCAAATTATCCTTGCTTCCTGCTATGGTGGCGGCTATTCACAGTGGATTACGGCAATTAATTTCCGTATTCACACAAGAGATAAAGAAACCTTCCGCCAGTATATCCGCTCCGAAGCTAGAATTACCCTACACTTATTTGATGACATGGTTAGTTCTTCACCGGCCAGATTTAATGGAGGCTCCTGAGACGGTGGATCCTAGTCTTCCTCTTTTACAGACCCTTGAGGGTTGCAAATAGGTCAAACATCGATGGTCAGACATAACGAGGCAGTTCAAAATTCACAAGTGTTGGGAATTCTTCCCCTGCTTCCCTCGATTCTCCGGTACGTACAATACGACTTTATTAGATGCTGAAGACCCAAGGCAGAATCGTACCATCTTGGACGTCGGGTGTTTCCGATGGTTGATGAACATTCGACCTGAATATCTATTGTTCAGGATAAGAGATGTTTGTCACATTGAGCCCTATCTTCCATGTCGATTTGCTCGTCAATTCGGCTATGACCAAAGTCACATTGAGCCCTATCTTCCATGTCGATTTGCTCGTCAATTCGGCTATGACCAAATATATATCGGCAACCCGAATCG